AATAATATTGCATCATAGGCATGTACTAAAAATATACTGCCTTTAAATTAAAGAAGCAAAGAATCAGAGTTAGGTAACTTTAATACTCAGGTCAGAACTGAGCTGCATGAATAAGAAATATAAATTTTAATAAATCTATCTTAACACAAATATTGAAAAGATAGAGTTAATTTACAAAATAATTTCTATTACACACACATGTATAGATCATATATGAAACCAGGCTTTGAAAAACATAGTAAGTACTTTGTTGTGTGGAGCCAATATAATCTATGGTGTTTGTAGCCTATGGTGGTCCTTTTGTTTAACATAAAAATATGTAGTGTCATGTCTTTTCCTGTCAATTTGCACAGAATGCCTTCGATCTTTTTAATGGTTTCATAGCATCTCATTACACACATAAAAATCTATTTTTAATTAGCAAATATGTTTATACAGATTTTTCTAATTAATTGTTCAGAGTTATACAACTCACCTGACTCTTAAGATTATTTGCTAGAAATATCAGCCAGAGTTTACATGATTGTGTGTTCCAAACTGCTACAGTGTTTTTGATTCCCCTCTGAAAGGGAAAAAGAAGTCTTATTCTTCTGAGATGAATATACTCATACTTAACTTTCTGGCCATAGTAAGTTCTATCATAATTTTTCTAAAATTTGTAAATTTGTTATGAGAATTCATTACATTCATCAATATTTTGATATTCTTAGTTTTGTGATTTTAAGATACTCATTAGTCTTTTATAAGATTGCCTATTCATTTGTCTGGGGAGGCATCACTGTCTTATTGTTGTATAAAGGCCTTTTCTTTTTAAAAATGATTCAGCTTTCCTTCATTTTACAGGCTGTTGAAAGTTTGTGAAGCTGAATGTATTTCTAATTTTGGTCTAGTTTATTTTTGGAGTTCAAAATGCTTAGTTTGAATGCATGATTTTGTGAGGATTCTGTCAATGATACATTGTAATGGGAATATTTGCTTCTAATTTTTAACATCTTGAAAAAGTCAATCTGATTTCCTAAAAGATATCAGTTAAGATATGTAAAAATATCTTCCAGAAAAGCTACCATCTTTTCTTGAACAAACTCACATTTTCTCAAATTCGAAACATTGTTAAATTAAGTGACAATTTGTTTATAAACCCTTAATAGTGCTACTGGAAAACAAAGAAAAAGATTGCTCTACATTATGACTGGGAGATATAAAATAAAAATAAAACATAGTGAAAAAGCCCCTCGTGGAGCTAGACAAAGATCCTACACTACAGATGCTCACCACTGTAGAAATTGTACCTTTCACACATGGTCATTGCCATCTTGGCAAAATGTCTCTCAAAACATAAAATGGAATCCTGTCCTGAGTCTAAAGTGCTGATGCAATCAGCTCAGCTTGTAGGTGGGAGACTCAAACATAATGGTTCCTGAGAAACCAGCCACTTAATGTGATAGCCAGGGAAACCAGTCCTGAGGAAGGCACAGATACCAGATTTTGGTAAAGTAAAGGGAGTCAGCCTTATACACAAACTAAACATGAACCAGAGGTCATAAGGGAGAAAGTAACTAACCAACCACAAAGTCAGCTATTGTGCAGAAGTGAGAGAGCTGGAAGATACGAACCCAGTGCCACAGGGCAGTTGTAACTTGATTTCCATCCAGTGTTTCAAGATGAGCTTTTCTCCAGGAAGCTACTAGCATGAAGTTGAAGCTATGAAAACTAGTGCATCATATTAGCATGCTGTGTGATAACCTCATATTCATTGGGAACCTCCCATTCTATTAGCAGGTCTAATTTCAAATTTAAGATGATTTAGAAAATAAATTCATGCTTGCTAAATTGTCTTTCAGCACTTGACAGGTTATAATGAGTCCTATTGATTCTCTAAGCCAAGGGCTAATGAGAGAATATATTAAAGACTTAGAGCAGAGTTTAAATAATTAAAGCAGGAAACCATCTTATAAACAGGCAAAGGCACTATGACACCCATAAAAAACTCAGTGAAGGATTTATCATATTTGGTAACCATGACAACATAAAGGCTGTGACTGTGGCCCTAGATTTGGTTACTTTTCTGTCTCTTGGCCACCCTGACTTTTTAATGCTTTGAGGATGATTCTACACTTTGATTGGTATTTTCAGTCTTTTTAGTTTGTTCATTGTAGCAACCACACGAATATGAGTACATAAAATTATCATAACA